TATATATATATATATATATATGGCCTGATCATCGAATGAACGGGACTAAAGCCACTATATGTGGCGGACAGAGGACAGTACGGACCAATAGGATCTCTGTATTAGCGCTAAGATGGATGGGGTTCCCTGTTTCTTCTATATAAGGCATTGAATCTAGAACTGTAGTCTGTCAACCGCGAACACTATCCCATGCGGCTAAAAGGTATCGACTGGAAAATACAATGAAATTGCGAAAATCTTTACAATGCTAAATCTGGAATTCGCATTTTTCGGAACGACTGTTAGCACGTTAATCTTGTACTGAAGCAATCCAAGCGAAGAAGAAATACCGCGGAAGCACTATTTTCCCAAGAAGTCGGAGAAAAGTTCTCTGCTTTTCAGCAATGAAAATATGAAAAATAGCTCCTAGAAATTCCTCCTATTTCCTCTTAGAAATACAATTCTTCTTTGGAAGCAGTGAAGACGTGAACATGATTCTTTAATTTTTCGCGAACGGTTGCCTACCAATAGAGCGAAAATGACGGTAGCTCATCTGCCGTGAAGTTTCAGAGATAGCTTGACAAAGGTCAGTGTGCTTCTAACAGTTCGGAATTAAGCCAACTGAGTTTTTTTTGCTTATGAATTCCTGAATAAGGAATTCGTGAGTGAGAAAATTACTGGTTTCGACTAATAGCGCTGCGAACCTTACCAAGAATGGCTGAAATTTGCTATTTACTTCTTTTAGAGTATCACAGAACCCGTGAAGTCGAGACAGGTTTGTGTTGAAACCAAGGCAAACCAATTCGAACGGTATGCATGAGTAGTTTTGTATTTTCCGCTGTTGTCCAGCTGCAACGTGTCAACGATTTACCGCGTCATCCTGGCTGGGAGGTGTAACTGGATATCTGACTACGATGTACAGCGGCGAGATTGACCGGTAGGGTCTTTCAAACTAAGATGATGTCCGACGTTTCCACCAGGAAATCTACCTAAGAGTGAACCAATACCAGGATCCATCACTGTCCTGGCATCAAAGTCGCGTGGTGGCAAATCTCCTTCTGATCCATAGGAGCGGCGACTGCCGGTAGTGGTGACGATCTGTGGCAGACCTTGGGCAGGCTGACCTAGGGCTCCAAGGAACTACAATGGCTAAAGCAGTAAAGTTCCTAAAAATGGAGATTATGCTAGGGCCCTCACAAAGAGTGAAGACGGGTGGTCCAAGTATCCAAACTCGAGCTGCGAAAGTAATAAATTCCAAGGTAGAATTTACAGACTGAAAAATATATGTCTCATAGCCTCCACACTTATCGTTTATTAAATGATACGGTTATGTCTCATATTGCTTGGTTAACTTACACTAGAAGTTATTATTTAAAATATTATAGCCAGAACGACTGCCACCCGGCTGCAATCTGCAGCGAAGTAACCGGTCCTGAAAAGTACACATGTAAATGTCGCGACGGATATATCGACAAGTCGCCGAATGGAAACACCCGGCCTGGCCGCGTCTGCGTAGAAATGGTACGTTCGGGTTGGTTTTGTGGTGCCTGCCGGTGACTCAACCTTTCAGTATTTCATTGTTTGGATGATGCCTTAAGAGACAATCGGAACAGATTGTCCTCATTACAGTTTTATCACTCTCTTATACGAAAAAATTCGAGGTTCTCTCGGAACTTCTGGTGAAGTACTACTTTATAGAATCCGTTGCAGATTAACGAATGCCTCGACCGGTCGTTGAACAATTGCCACGGGCTGGCAATTTGTGAGGACAAGCGAGATGGCTACACATGCCGGTGCCCGGTGAACACCATCGACAAATCACCGGACAGCAACCGACCAGGACGTCTCTGTAAGTCTTCCAAAACGTTTCTTTTATGCTCTACCTCACTCAATGATTCTTAAATTCGCGATAACAGTAGTTCATAGCTGATTCGTTAACGCCTGCAGAAACTGCAGCCGTGACTTTTTAAGCTGTAATAATGTAGTTATAACTTAGTGATATGTGAATCAGCCATAAAGCAAGTACTTAGAAAAGCCTAGTTATCAAGACAAATCTCATCAAATTCTATAAATCTAGGAAACTTGATGAAGTAGGAGCGAACAAGTGGTGCAATAGTCACCAAGCTGTGAGATAGATATTTCAAAACCGACTTTCTTTTAAGTTCAGTACGACTAGTCAATACGTATTCTTTTTTTGGTAAGCTTATACGAGGTTGATATATAATCTTTATTCGGCTAGCGTTTCGAAGGTTTCGTCTTCATCAGAGCCGATGATCCGAGTCGATGGTCTGGTGGAGACTGAAACTGTCTAAGCGTTAGCCGAATAAAGATTATATATCAATTTCGTATAAGCTTATCAAAGAAAGAATGCATATGTGGAATAGACAGCCAAGAACTTGATGGTGGAGTGTTTCCTTTCCTGAATCTTACCGTGTTTTCTCTTTATTGTACGCTCTGCTTTGCACGGATACAATTAATGTTTACGAAGCCCTATCAGCAGGAAAAGGCAGAAAATACTTTTGGCCACTTTTAGGTGTGAAGCAGGTGAACGAATGTCGAAATCCGTCACTGAACACCTGCTCTCGATTCGCTGAATGCATTGACAAAGAAACCGGTTACGAATGTCGTTGTCGTGAAGGCTACCACGACAACGATCCTAGCCATCCGGGAACCCAATGCTCATACAGTGCGTCTCACATATAGAACGTCAGTAAAACGAGTTCCAACTAACCTTTTATAGTTATCAACGAATGCGATTCGCCGAATCTCAACGATTGCGACCGCAATGCCGTATGCATAGATCGAGAGGGTGGATATGAATGCAAGTGCAAGCACCCGTATAAAGATGAAAGTCCGGCAGGTGAGGCCTTAGGTGTATTGCCCAACAAATTTACGTCGCTCATAAATGTAATATAGATCACCCCGGTCGTGTTTGCCGGCTGAATGAGTGTCTAGACAGCAGTTTGAACAATTGCGACCGAAATGCTGACTGTCAAGACTTGGACGACGGCTACATATGTAGCTGCCGTGAAGGTTATTATGACCAATCACCAAATCCACAAGAACCAGGAAGGGTCTGTCTCGAGTTCCAGGTAGAATTTTGGAATTATCGCTGGGATACGAACTTCAGCTCGCTATACTGTGTATTTTAGGTCGATCACAAGATCGAGCAAGTCACGGCTGCTCCTGTGCAGACGCATCCACTTGGTGAGGGTCTTCCATGCGGACGGGAATTCTGCAAACTCTCAATGGCAGAAGTTTGCATTAGCGGTTCACATTGTGGATGTCGTCCTGGACAGGGCAGATCGATTGCTACCGGAAGGTACAGGTCGTTTCTGTCTCGATTCCTACATAACCTCATAGAATGTTTGCAGATGTGAGAGTGTTGAACAGACGCCGCTGCAGATCCGTGTAGTAAGCCGGAATCATCGTCCACTGCTTTACTCTAGCGAGTACGGTTCATCCAAAAGTCCTTCCTACGTGGAGATTGTTGACATGTTCCAGGTACAGACAGTTACTTTTAGAATTTGATGTGATGATAAGCGCTAGCTTAGGCCATTGTACTGCAAGTTGCACTTCGAAGAGAACTTCAGTTTTCTCAAGAAGTCGTCTTTTTTCCTTATTCAAAACCTCTTCAGAAAGACATGGCTAGAACGTTTGGTGGTACGACATACGCTCCACGATACGTGAACACCAAGGTGCACTACATCACTCATCCAAAAACAGTGAACAGGTAGTGTTTTCTTTTAGATTTGGTACTTTCCAAATATTTGCCTCATAGGGACCCGCGAAGCTTTCTTTAGTCAACGAAAAAATCGTGACTCAAGAAACTGTTGTTTATTCTTAGCAAATGAATCGATCCATTTCAGCTCATGGCCAGATGGTTTACTTTTCAAGTACGATGTTCAGACGACTCTGTCGAAGACACAGCCAGTCGATAAATGCGAACTATGGAAGCAGATGATGGCTTCGCTTCAACGTACTAACGGAGTCATTGGTTGGTGAGAGCCTGAACTACTGTAGGGGTGACGTTAAGTCTCGTCTCTGTTGCGTTCACCATCTCATAGCGCAGATTCTCTTTGGTATTAGCTGCACTGTACATGCAAGCGAAGTTTAGAGGAAATTAGAGGAGTGAAAAGAAGAAAAAAAGAAAGAAGAATAAAAAAGTTCCGGTGGAAACAAAAATAGCATTCTATTTTTACATGACAGGTGGCCAGTCATTACGTGTCGCCGATGACAGCGAGCTATTAAATCCGTGCCGAGCAGAGGAATCGCTTGGAGAATGTGGAGGGACCGGTTGCAAAGCTGAACTCGGCGAGGTATACGTTCCATGTCCTTCAATCTATCACTTACCATTCCGAACTCAACGACTGCTTAAATTGCTTTGATTGTTATTGATCATTCATTGACATCCTCACGATCATTATAGATCTCATTCCTTCCTTTTATAAATATTACAAAAATTCTAAATCGCGTGTCTTCAAACACCGTGACCTAATTTCAGTAGTGTTAAAAACATTTCTAAACCAACTTTTTCTTGCTTTTCTGATAACACCAGTATTATAGAACACTGTGACTTCAAATTTATTCGCTTTACAATGTTCTTTACCCTAATCCCTTACTTACTTACTTGATACTTGAATGGCTCGTCCTCACTGGTTATGCGGGCCCCAGCATAATCTCCACTTTTTCGGAGATTTGCTGGTCTAGGCATAGTCGTTCCCTGGAATCCCGACGTCAACCTGGCCAAAGTCTGCCCCAAGTCATCACCACCACAGGCAGCTGCAGCCCTTGTGGATCACAGGGAGATTTGTCACTATGCAACTAGATTGATACCAGGACAGCGGTAGATCCTGGTATTGGTTCCCTCTTAGCTAGACTTTCTGTTGAAAACGTCGAACTCCTTCTCAACTTGGAAGACCCTGCCAGGGGGATGAATCTCCTTGCCGTACGTCGTAGCCCGGCACCCAGGAACACATCCCAGCCACGATGAGGCGCTAAACCGTTGGGAGGAGCCTAATCCCAATATTTATAAATATAGGATCGAGTTCTCTATGAATAAATGATGATAAGAACAGAAATGGGAGAATGGGAAGCCGTAATGTTAGCCATCTGTGAGTAGTACGATGCGGATTTTACAGATCTGCATCGCCGGCTCAGTTTGCGGATGTCCGGTGGGGATGCGGCGAGTCAAGTTAACGCAGCCTTGTCGTGCCATTGAATCGTGGAATGTACCATTGTTGGTGATCAGGAAGGAACACAACAATCTCATCTACAACGAATCGTTTGCTAATCCCATGGACATCGTATACAAGGTGTGTTGGTACAGTTAGAAAGAGTACGAACAATTATTTTTCAATACTTGGTAGACTCTACAGCAGATTTCACATTCCTCTCTCGAGGAACGTTCCTTTTTCAAAGAAATTTTGAGAAAAAAGAAATTGATTCAGTCGTACGCGCGTGACTACGAACAAGGAATAGCTCAATGCTATCCGCACACCGCTCTGCGGAATTCGTTTGTGGCAGCCGATGTGAACGAAATCGTCAATCCCAGGGTAAATGACGTCCTTCGAGTGCTCTTCACTCTAACCGGTAATGTATGTTTATAGGTGATGAACGCCAGCTGGGAGACTGGACTACTCTTCAACACCACTGTACACTTTGTAAAAGGTAGCTCTTTGTTTGTTATTTCTTACATGACCCGACATCACATGTATCACGTTGTGGGGATCCCAAAGCTTACTACATTCGTTTCTCTTCCTCGCTTTCACTGTTAACGAAGGCCTTCGAACAATTTTTTGCGTGTGGCTACTTGAGCATTTTTTCACCCTAATTGAGAATATTAATTTAGAATACCTAATGTTTAAAGTATTCAGAATCCATCGTACATATTTGAGCAAGTTTTGCATGAGCTTCGAACTCCTTCAACAGTAATATTGTATTTTTCAGTAAGCCTCATTATTGATGTTTTTGTTGGGTCTAAACACAAGTTTATCCGGCGAATAGCACAATGGTAGTCGATCATCACGAGCACGGTGCTCGTTCGATTCTGCTCTGGACTCACCAAGCGTCGTTCCTCCGAAATGGGGAATTGGGTACCGAACTGGTCCGGGAAGGAATCACTCTCCTCAATCCAAGTGCGAGCGCCCTAGATCGGCAAACTCAGGACTCCAGGAAGAATCGACTCGACCAGCATTCTACGATATTCACGATGAAACAGAAATACTCAAGCAGCAGCTTAAGCTAACCATAAAAGTTGGAAGACCTTCGTTGATCCTGAATGAGAGGAGACAAGTCGAATATGAGAACTGTTGCGATCGACACAGTAGATGTGAAAGACGGGTAGTACAAATATTAACTGTTGGTATATCTGGGGTAAGCATATCAAAGACAGGAACCAATATTTAAGCGAGGGTTCGCTGTTCTCTGTACTCCAAATCCCCAATTTATGGAGTTGGGCAAGCTGTCCGTTGTGGTGTACGAGATCTTGACTAATCCGTTTTATTATTGTAAAAACCTCTAATTGACGTTTTTTTATATTTAAATTTTGTTTTCGTGTCTATAAATTCGAGATCAATGAATAGAAAAAGTCACTGGGGAATATGTTTGACAAACTAGAAGATTGCGTGTCACACGGCAGGCAATGGATCTTAGTCCACCAAGCAGTTCCTTCCAACGGTTCCACAATGAGTTTTGTGACATCATTGATACCTGAACTCCATAACTCTAAGCTAAGATTACCATCACATAACTGAAGAGATCCGTTTGGATAAATCGTCTGAATAAATCGTCGCTGCCAATCAGTATGTTTCAAACTGGAAGTGTAAAAAGCTAAAGCTCTCGGTGTTGATCAATCCCTGATGCGCCAAGCATTCGACTTCATTAAGTATCGTTAGAGGTGATTGAATGCATATCTGTCCTTTACAATAGCTCGCGGTGGCCCACCGATGTATCAGTGGGCCAGTGCGGCTATGCTGCCAGACAAGTCTGGTACCCATTTGCCGACCCCGGAAGAATAGAGGGCTTGGTGGGCCATGAGAGCTGGGATCGATTCCACGATTCCACATGTGTGTCGCAGTGGTGCGTCCAACCACTGTGCCACACGCGCCCTTACTGGAAGTATATCAAAGTTGAATTAATGGCACAACGGTAGATTTCTGCTATCATCAACTACATACCTTTTGCATTAATGCTTCATTAATAAGAAGTTCGTAGTTAAATGAAGCATCAATGAAGAGGGAAGAGATCCGTTGAATTTGGATTCTACCGATATTATTGCTGGATTTCTCCACAAGGACTCTGAGGAAAAACGTTAAGGCTCATCTCATCTCTAAAGTTGAGCTAACTTTATTGAGTCACTGTTATACGGAACAACGATCAGTGAAGAGATACCTTCTTGCGCTTGATTGTGGTAAATAAACTAAATGGTATAAGTGATATGGGATGGTATGGCTGATTTCCCACGATTATATTATGGCCACAAATAAAGGATAAAGGTTCAAGCGCTCTCGTCTTTGACTAATTCCTTAGGGATGCGCCATGCATTCGACTTCATCATATCTGGCCTTCACAATTATTCGCGGTGGTCTACCGATGTATTAGGCCAGTGCTGCTATCCTCCCAGAAAAGTCTGCATCAATTTGCCGATCCCGGAGAGGTAGAAAGCTTGGTGAGCCAAGGGCGTGGGAATCGATCCCATCAGTATCAGAAATAGTAGTTAGCAAAACAAGCATATGCTGATCAGTACTCATCCCTGGAAAACGATGCGATGTACGACTTCCTCTGTTCGCCAGGTCTTAATGGAAATTTATTGGTGTATATTACTGAATTATTAGACCAATAAACTCTATAAACAACCTGGAATCTTGTTTGCAACATGGATCCAATAGTATAAATGTGGACGTTTTTCAATGTTGTCTCATGGCAACATTATTCAGGAGCCGTGCGAATCCCATCGGATGTGTACTACGATCTTGTCCGTTACATCGTCGATCGTAATGGATACGAAGTTGGCGACAGTGGTCTCTATCTGAATGAGTACCAACCGAACCCCTACAGCCCGTGCTTCAAGGTTTGAGATGTTTCTCTATACTTTGTAGACATGCTATTCCATTCTGAAGACGGTTATTTCATATTTACAATTTTTTAAGTAAAAGAAATAGATAGTGAGAAAAAAGTCAGAGCTGTTCTACCATTTTAATTGGAGATTTGTGTTTTAGAACGACTGCCATCCGAAGGGGATTTGCATCGATGTCACTGAACGAACGTACCGATGCGAGTGCAGTCCAGGCTTCCGTGAACTCAATCCTTCGGATCCAGGAAAGAGATGCATTCCCACCTTTGGATTCAACGAGTGCGAGAAAAAGGTTCAGTGCATTCACTATATAACATGTCACATTAACCTAATCACTTACTGATGCTATTTTCTACTTTTTTACAGTGTTGTATTCTCGTAGATTTGTTGCCAACTTAAGTGTGGAGAGACGCGTGTCTTTAAACTTGCTCATTACTAATTCTGGTTCCAACCCAAATTTAATTGTTGATACACTCTCTACTCGTGATTGACCGTTTGACTCTACACCAAACCGCATGGTTTGCATCGACTTCCCTGTGACTATGACTGAGAGAAGGCGACGTCTGACCTCTTTGAAAATGAGAAGCTGCTTTTCTCTTTATGAACTGCTGAGCATGAGTGAAATTATGCTAATCCTTCCAAACAATGGTGTATTCAGGAGAACAATGAGTGTTCTGAGAATGCACGATGTGTGGATCTCGAGCATCTGTACAAATGCGAATGCCTCCCTTCCTACTCGGACGCTTCGCCGCTGGGAGCCGTACCAGGTCCACCTTTTGAAACACATAGAAATCAGTCGCATGCTGCTTAGCATCAAATCCAAAATTTTGATTGCAAGTCTTCTTGACATTAAAGGGTTCTACTTCTTCCTGGTTTTGTGGGTCTTTTTACAAAACTTCACCGCGAGAACACGTAGTATTGTCGACTGTATTTGATTGGTGATTATTGTTGTGCGGTCGAAAAAATATTGAATATATTTAAATGCGGTGCTTCTTAACTCGTCGTAAATCTTCTCTCTAGGGTCCGTGTGTGTGCTCGATTACTGTAGCGATGTGAACTTCTGTCCAACGAACACCACATGCAAGAATATGGAACAACAAGCCGAATGTCGTTGTGACCCCGGATTTACAGACATTAGGTAGATGATCTCGACGTTCTTTTCGATTTTTGAAATCTGGGAACGCCCCTTTCCAGGAAGAGTGATCGTCGCACTATGCTAGGCTTAGGCGATGACACTCTCTGTATGCATGTGAGGGATGTCAACGAATGTGCTCTTGGGCTCACAAACTGCTCAGGTATAGTTGAAGCTCCGTGCTAATTAAATCGAATCAACGAACAAAGTGACCACCGTTGTTTCCTATTCGCATTTACCCTCGCAACCCAGCTTACGCATTATAAAGAAAAGTTTTCCTATTTTGCGAAGCAGTATTCGTTGAAAAAATCTGCGTCGTAAATAAGTTTCATGGCTAGGTGAAGCCTACGGACGTAATAGCCGAAATGTTGCTAGATTTCGTTTGTTAGACGCACTCAGTGTTCTAATTGTTCCACAACTTGGGTTAAAGAAGGGCAAGTGCTAACACAAAGAAATAATTCGGTATACTGGATGGATTGCACTGCCCACATAACCCTGCTCCAACCACATGCTAACTGGACGATCGTAGGACCTATCACTGCGCGGGAAACTTCGCTTTGGGCGGTATTTAGCTAATAACAAAAGGCCACATCTCGTTTCGATTCATGTCGACACTTTGAGTCCTTTGCACTACCACGAGTGCAAATTTCTCTGTTGGATCTAACGAAAAGTTGCGATGGAAAATGTTTGAGTTAAATTTATCTCTTATTTCTACCGTAACCTACATTTTTAAGGTGTGGCTGAATGTATCGACCGCCCAATAGGCTACACTTGCAAGTGTCCGGAGGGCTATATTGACGGCAACCCAGACGAACCGGGTCGAGTCTGCGGAGCACTCCTTTGTGATCTGTGCAATTCCCATGGAGACTGCGTACATAACGCCCAAACCAACAACATCACGTGCATCTGTACCGAAGGATGGAGTGGCGAATATTGCCAAGTTGCTCCATCAAATGCATCACTGGTGCTGCTCATACTTCTTGCTCTGCTATTCCTTCTACTTACACTCTGCTGTCTACTGTATTTCTGCACAAAATGCCGCTGTTTCAAGGGAAGTGGAATTGTTGGTGGTGCACCGTTCGTCTATAGGTACGAGTTATTCCGTTAAATATTCCTAATATTCATTCATTTGTACGACCATAGTGTGATTTATATGCATCTGTTATCGATGTATCACGCAGACATATCAGCTCATTTGGTTTTTGATTTCCTGATTGGTAGCACAGCCACGCTGACCTTTGATCGGTGACGATCGTTCTTACCTCACTTGCGTGATACAGCTTAACCCCCTTGCTAACACACCTAACGTTTCCAACCGCACTTTACTCACCACTAACCCCTAGATGTTAATTTACGATGAACCGTGAAGTCGAAGAAGTCGGCTCACAACAGGGTGTTTTTTGTCTCGTTACTGCATGCTATACGCTACTGTAAGTGGACTTGGACTTTTTAAGTAGGCAATGCGAGTCAAAGCAGAACCTTGTGCTCTCGCAGTAATTCAACAAAAATCGGTACCGCATGGATATTGAATCGTGATGATCCGCTTTTGAAGCGGTGCTTGCTGGCGTAACGGACGGTCCTTCGTCTATTTTGCGGATCCCGTTAAAGATAACTCGAGTGAAAGGCTTGCAGACTACAAACAACAGTTAGAGTGGACAATAGTTCAACAACACAGTCTTGCTGAATTATCACACACAGGACATGTTTTCACAAGAAGCTAAGCCACTGTATTGGTGAGAAATGGCGAGTGCAATCTTATCTGGACCAAGTCCTCTGCAGTTCTTAGTCGACGAAAATAGCATGCTAGATTGCATTACGCTTCCATGTGAACTCTGTGCGGTTGGTGTACAAGTGACATACTCAGTGGAGGACTTATAGAAGAAAGTGGTTCTGAGGAAGGGGAAATCCGCCAAAACGTCACCTTGTTCGAAAATAAAAATTGTAGTAATATCTTTTGAACCTTAACCTTTTTATTTGCTGCCTTTTTCTTTTTTAAGGTCAGGGTATGTTGCGAAATATAACTCGTATATAATGCTGAGATATTTGCAAAACTCCGGACCGCAGGTGTATGCGGTGGGGAACGAACGCGCGCTATTGTCCGCTGTTGCTGATGGCAGAAGATCAATAGAACTGGCTGAGAGACAGGGGAAGCGAAGGACCCGGATGGTGTGGTGGTGAAGTGCGCTACTCCACGATAAGGACAATAGTGCGCGTTCGTTCCCCACCGCATACACCTGCGGTCCGGAGTTTTGCAAATATCTCAGCATTATATACGAGTTATATCTTTTGCTCAACAAGAATATAGAGGATTATTTGATCAATCCCGAGGTTAGTAGAAAGTTGTGCGTAGCATATTAGAGCTTAAAATCTACAGTATTTGCGATAACATATTCATTTTGCCTTATGTGGTATGGAGGCAGGCGAACGTCGTATTCGAAGGTATAGGAGTAGAGGTTGCAGATGATCACCCCTACTCTCCATTTGGATACAACAAATGTTTCATATGAATGCCAGGGAACTTCCTACAATTTTCCAAGATTATCATAAGCACTGTGAATGCTCATCTCAAACTTTTTCCCTGCAACCAACACATTGCTGTTCTCTTCTTAAGTTCTTCTTTTATTCCTTTTTTCGATTATCCTAGTCACTTGAGGTTTATTCCTTCTGTGCTAAAATTTCCCATTTTTTCATGCTCTATGCAAGTTTACAAGTTCTTTTATTCTAGAAGAGGCGGTGCATGGCCATGGTCTACGCTAGAAGGATCATCTTCATCCGAAAGTGGGGCCGAGTTCTCAGCTCACAGTGCCGCAGGTCATGAATATTACCCCGATATTGGAATTCCACGGGCGAAATTAAAGGTGCGAAAGGTCTCATAGTTGTAATCTTTTCCAATGTGTTCAGTGCTTCAGGTAGGCGCTGGTGTAGTGGATACAAGCAAGAATGTAGATTTATCAAGGCTGGAACACTATCTTTGTGATGGTATGCATTTATTTTTGAAGACATTTGTTCAATTCACCATGGTATTTCTAACCATAGAACGGCTTGGAATAGAAGATGCCTCTATTTCAGTTTTTTTCATCCATTAAGCGTCTTCATAAAATCTTAAAAGATGAACCAACTCCCAGTGTGTTTTTGTATGCTAAAATGTTCCGTTGTGTAACAACCTCACCTTCCAATCTGCGTGAATTTCCTTTCAAGAACTTTGCTTTGTTTTTTACTTATTTACATGACCCGCAATCTCAACTTGTGCGATTACCATCACTTCTTTCATTCGTTTTGTTACACTGCATCGGTCTAACTCTGATAGAACGTTCCTAGATATTCATCATAGGAAATCGCCGGACTTTGTGGATTAGTAGAGGGCAGCTGTGCCCATCTGAATTTGATACTAGTTTGTCCCGATGCCTGAGAAATGGGAGCCCTTATTGAGCCGTTGCAGAGTCGGACAGAGTTGTAGTGTGTCTTTTGCGCGGTATTACTGGTCACTGCCCTTCTCGCGATCTTTTTTTAAGAACAAAGACAGAATATCCTATATTTTTGTAAGAAATTAGGATATTGTTTCCAAATTCCTTATAATGAGAATTGCAATGTTTCATTTTTCGTTGCTATCGATCTGAACGTCTGGTGGAAAGCGCCTTTAAAATTTACAAAGCTGGACTTTGTTGAAGTACCAATCCTGAATTTACACAAATTTCTGAACGATAAGTTTGCAGGTGTTGTCAAGATTCCCCGTGCTCATCTGGTCGGTGGAGGTGGACGTCTCAATGACTCCTCCGATAGCATGTCCGACGGGTCCAGCGAATACACTATCAAGGAGGAAATTGAAAGAAAGGTGGTTATTTTTAGAAGCTTTGAAGTCACATCGCATGGCCTTTCAATCGTATGACACGAGGACGTGAAATGGTAACATTTTTGCTATCGGGTTGTGTTCTCCAAAGACGGCAGACTAGCTATTCGATATTCTAGTAAAGAGAAATAAATTTCAAAGCAAGTTCACGTTTTTCGTTTTGACTTTTTAACAGTCTAATAGATACATTTTGAGTGTGAATATTTCCAAATTATTCTTTATTTTCAAGGCGTTGATATCGTGGATAAGGGCATACAGTCGAGCTCATGTCCCTTCCCTAACATGTAGATCTTCCTCCACTGGATATCCCTGAACACAGCACTTCTTTTCGCGTTTCATTCGCTCAAGTGCATGTAGAGCTCTTTGGTTGGTTAGCCCAGTCGTTATCCACTGGTGGACCAATAGCTTTGTTGCCCAATCGGCAATTTCTTTTTGCATGGTGGATTTGGTCTCGTATGTGGCACAGTGGTTGGGGGCGCCACTGCGACACACACATGGAGTCCGTGCCCATGGCTCACCAAGCCCTTCATCTCTCCGGGGTCGGCAAATTGGTACCAGACTTGTCTGGAAGGATAGCACCATTGGCTCGATACATCAGTAGGCCACCGTGAGTCATTGTAAACTCCAGATATACATTCAATCACCTCCAAACGATACTTAATGAAGTCCAATGCATGGCGCATCCCTCAGGCGTTGATCAACGCCGAGAGCTTTACCCTTTTTTATTTTTTATGAAGAATTTGTAAATTTATTAAACTGTAGATAGTGTCTAGGTATATAACGCTTTAGAAACATGGAAAGACTGGTGAGTATTGAAACGCCTTAGTATGTCTAGGAAAGAAGACGCAATCTTACAAAAGATTACTAAAGCTGCACACTTAGAATGTGTGATCTAAACATATTTAGGCATGTTAGATGTTGAAAACACTACAATGGATACATAACATGCCACATGTTCTATTCGAAAATTGCTTCTTGTCGTTTTTGGGAAAATCGTTAATGATCTCGTTCCCAGGTGATCACGGACGTAGTCACGAAGGAAATCAAAACCACTACAACAACTGATAACGCGGGAAATGTAGTGACTACTACAGCTGAGTCCTACGTCTACCCTTCTGAACATACCTCGTCCCATGGAGAGAGTGGGGTTAGCAGTCAGCATGGCAGGTTGGACGAGTAGGACTTCATTAACTGAAGCTTATTCAGGCGACACGTTCATCGTTCATTGGTGAATCCTCATATGCGACGAGGAACTCCGAATGTTCACATGATGCTGCTTTCAGCGAGGTATGAAATATAGTTGGTTATAGTGTTCGACGTTAAACAAAACAAACCGAGTCTTGCAAATCCTCCAAACGCTTTAGTATCCTCGATAGTTGAACTCGCGATCCCTTTGGTTAAATATATGATTTGTTGGTTCTGATGAAGACGAAGATATCGAAACGTTCGCCGAATAAAAACTGTTTGAGGAAGTTTGTGGATAAAAATTATCATTGAGTGGTAATCAGGTGTTTCGCTTGATATCTCAGTAGCGCGAGCTATTCCTTCGTTCTGCTTACTTAACATGGCTTTTCAAGCTTATGTGAAGGCAGGTTGAGACCATTTTCTGAAGAATGGTGAGCATGGAGCTCTACTTTACCTTGTCTTCTTCACTGCCTCTTCGGTTCTCTTGTCACCTCTCCAAGAACTCTGTTTCACTGTTCTAGGTTCAAGAGCTAAGTCGTTCATCATATTGATGTACGTGTACATAGATAAACGGGGCTGGAGCATTTTGAGTTATTTATTCCACTATATGTAAATGGGGTATCGGAAATAACTGAGATTTCTTGAGAGACAAAGCGCTTCCTTGTATTTTCGCGACGCTTCATTTAGTTTCGTGGGCTGAACGGGTGGGCTGTATGCTATGAAAGAATCCTTTCGAAAAGATGCTTCCATGCATAACTAACCTTCGTGCAGTGTTCTTTAAATCCTACTGAAGAGCACTCGAGAAATGAGCTTTTAGAACAGAGATAGCAGATTGATTGAGATATAGTTGCCGATTTTCTATGGCTCTTCGTTCTTGTACAACAATAGCGTTTTGCTCGTTTTCCATTATTGAAATCGCCGCATTCTCACAGGTAACGTGTGAGCAAGCAAGCTAGCCAACCTGTCGATAAGGATTAGTAGTGGATTTTTCAGATGTTCTAGTCCTGTTTGAGCGTTGTTCTCTTTCTCATCAATGATGTAGCATATTGGAACTTGGAAGAGAAATCGGATGGGAGAACACGTCCAACCTCCTTTGTTTGATATGTAGAGAGAAGAACACGACTGTTGAAGAGATCAGAACAGAATTATGTGTGACTTTGCCTATTATCTTTCTGGAACCCATAACTGTTCTTGTTCGAAATATGATGGCTATTTTGTTAGCCTTGTACTTTGAGAAATCTTGACAATCGTTAAGGATGATATTCCGAACATCTGCACCTTAAGAATGTGCCTCTGATGTTCTTTCTTTAGAGTTATCTCTCACCGTTTGTCTGCAGGAAAGGCGTCTTTTACCAACCGTGGAACCCCAAGTGTTCTTACCACGAAAGTAGAGTTGAACGAGCATGTCGCATTCTTTATCAGTGTCAATAACAATGTAAGAATGACGTAATGGTAATAATAGCTAGAGTGGTATCTTCTCAGGAGCCATCTAGTGGTCTGAACAAATCCCGATCTATGGAACGGCTTTCCCTTTCACAAAGAATGGAACGCGCGAAGGAGGTGATGAAATGATTCTGTGTAATTTTGGAGCAACTGTAACTCTAAACAGGCAAAACCATTGATTTACTATTATCTGGTCTATTTCATTATGGTACTCACAGTCGAAGAGGGCGTGTGGCGCAGTGGTCGGAGGCGCCCCGCAACACACACGTGGAATCGATCTTAGCGCCCATGGCCCACCAAACCTTCCATCCATCCGTGGTCGGCAGATTAGTGCAAGACTTGTCTGGGAGGATAGCAGCATTGGCTTGATACATCAGTGAGCACCGCGAGGCATTATAAAGGCGAGATGTGCATTCAACCACCTCCAAACGATGAGTAATGAAGTCGAATGCACGGCGCATCCATCAGGGATTGATCAACGTCGATGGCTTTATTCCTTATCCTTACTCTCAGTCGAATGACTCCCACGGGCAACGACCATAGTGAGGCTTCTGGCATTGTGAGTTGTAATGCATGCTTTTGATCATCATCTTTCAACTCGTGCAGTTATTTCTCCTGTTTTTTCCATTTTAACCCTTAGATCTGCAAAGTTTTCCACACCTTTCACTCTGTGCTGTCTCAGCGTTGAAGTAACAAATGACCTGTAATAAAGTATGCTCCACTCTGTAGAACTCGTGTAAGTCCGTGGTGTACACTTCGACCCCGTCTTCATCATACCTTGACGTTAGAACGTAGATGGCGACGTTTCTTAAAGCCGACATTGTTTCACAGTTTTTCCATCATAAGCGTCGGATTCGTATCCTTCGTTGTTCGGAGTGATCGATTTTCTTGGCTAAAGTTGTCTTCATAAAGTCACGGACTACCCATTTTAATATTATCGCGTATTCCAAGAAACATTTCATTTACGGTATCATAAATGGCGTTATATGATGAACCGACTCTTATCTCGATTAGTGTGATCACGCCGTATTCAATCGTCTTAGCTTGCATCACCATCAATCTCATGAATCCACCTGCGCCTCTCTCACATGGTCGCTCTTGTCTACCCTTTTCCGTGAATCTCCTATGTACCACTTTGGGACGCACAATGTAGGTTTGAGGCGACTAACCGAATGAAGATTGCCCCACCGAAGGATAGCAGTGCAGTGGAACACCTTTATGAATTTGTTTTGTTTAACATTCAATAGACTATAATGTAGATTTCTACTTGCAATTCTTAGGTATTTTTTACTTGGTACTGCTCATAAGTGTAGAGCTACTGAGTGTCCTCGACACTTTCCTTTCAGAGACAATTTCATCATCATTCTGGTCTCGAAGAACGTGAACGAGGTGAGAGCGTAGCTGAGTTTTCAATTGGACGGGCGAAATCGAAGGAATATTCAACTCGGGACCGCGAAATCTCCCATTGTTCATTGGTAAGCAAGAACAACGCAAGAAGCTATTGGGGTGATTGCGTAATAGAGAGCAAATGTACACGTCAACATCTTCTGTAGCAGGATGCAACGCAGTCCGATTTCGAGGAGCACGAAATCGGCGGTGCCATCACCCGCGTCACCAACTTTCGTCACTGCGAACCCATTAAAAATGGTGAATGTGAGCGATTCCGATCAGAGGTAGGCCGCTTTCAAATGTGACAGTTCGCCAATACTGATGTGTTTGCATTGAATAATGAGAACACTTTTGGTTTTACTACATCAAACCCGGTTAATCAAGAAGCACGTAATTGGCTTATGGGTGTTAATTGTGAGGTTTTCTTTATAACCCTCCCACTTCAGGTTGTGACCAGCCAAACATCGACTACTGTAAACAAGTACTAGTTACTTTTTCAACAGTGTGCCTCGTGCGGGACCATTCATTTGTGTCGGGTTCTGTCTTTATATATATATATATATATATATATATATATATATATATATATATATATATATATATATATATATATATATATATATANATATATATATATATATATACATATATATACATATGCATATATATATATATATCTATATATATGTATACTCCATATACGGTTGCCATTCATGCATTTCCATTCACTGCCTCGAAATTTCATCGTAACGTGAGGTTGAGTTTCCCAAATTTCTGCTCATGCCAATTTCCAGTTGCCTCTATGTTATTTTATCTTTATCTTGATATTCTTTTCTTTCATGATTTAATGTTGTACGTTCGACTTGAGAAATAGATTCGGTAATAATCTATTCTTATTGTGATTCGTTTCTAGTAAATATCTTTTCTTTCGTTTTTGTGTTTTCATCCTTTTTTCAATTTCAATTTCTTCTTCTCCTTTCTTCTTTTCCAATTTTTAAGCCAAAAAGGGGCAATCGATCTTTCTCCAGTCCAAAAATTGTTGATCAGAGCAAAACTATCGATCATAAGTCGCATAGGGTTTTCTTGTGGCTAAATCGGCCCTCCATTCTGTTTCACAGATTTTTTAGGTCATGCTTTTTGTACTTAGTTGATTTTACCCACTTCAGATATTGTACAGGTATCGGATGAGAAGAATTATTTTCTACAATCGATAACTTAGAAAGTACCGTTTTCACTTGCGCCTTCTTCAGCTTGAATCAACCTGTAAGAGAATGTTGTTAATGAGGAAACTAATCAATTTCACCGCATTCGAAGCGCACTTGCGGAAACATGAGTCACACATGATTCACAACATGTGCTGCTGAAAGTTGCGGGTCGACCTTTGTATTGTACTTATTCTCTTGTCCATGATCTATCGCTCTGTTGTGGCAGAGGGATGTTCAGAGAAATGGGATTTGCAGCAGGATACTTATCATCATCAGGATTTCCAAAGCTAAAAAGTTCTTTCTACTTCTGTTCAGCAAACACGAGGTGCTATTTTATTTCTTTATTTACGCACAAGCTGACGTTTCGGCGGATTTCGCCTTCCTCAGAGTCTGCAAGGGTTAAGTTGACAGCAATCCACTCGGCCAAACATCCATAACCAAACAGAGAAAACGCTAAACCAAGATTTCAATCACATTTAGCATAGCTCTGCACACTCACCGCTTTCTATGAGTCTTCCACTGAGTATGTCGCGTGAAGACCGACCGCACAGAATTCACATGGAAGCGTAATGTGCCCCTCTCATCAGAATAACAGGTTTATATACTGTCCAATATCACGCGTGATAACGAGGCATTCTACCCTGCGGTTCATTTTCGGACTCTTGGAATTAATCTAGAATGCCTCTAGATTTTTGCGCGCTTGTGTTCTCGATTCCTGCGCGAGGATCGTAACCCTTACTTCAAAATCTTCTCCGTTATGTTTTTGCGTGCTATGCGTACCTAGTGGAGTATTTGGTTTACGTTTGCCGACTAAGTGTTGTTTTATACGAACACAGAGTGGTCTACTCGTTTCGCCAACGTATTCGTCCCGCACGCTTTACAAGAGTTCAGATAGACTGTACCCGAACTCATGCAGTCACCATCTCTACCTTCGGGGCAAATTATGCAATTTTGTGTTGCACATAGACGGTAGTATAGACGGTTACGAACTAGCTGGTGTCTTAGAGATTACTCGGTGGCATTTCAATTATCGTTACCGAATTCTCCAGACCAGCCCTTCTTAAACAGCGTTTTATAGCTGTACTTACTTCATTTGAAACGAAGGGCAGTATAAACGGGACTTTTCGTCGCTAGAGTTATCGCTGGGGTACCTGTGGTTTCCCCGAGCTACAGTTTCTTAGCCATTAAAAATGGCTAATTGCCGAGCCAAGTTCCGGGACTCCTCTTTCTGCCCTCTTCCTGTGCACACGCTGGTAGCTGTTGGATACATGTTTCTCACAAGCGCCCTTTTCGTGTGAGAGGGATGAGAGGAGAGGTAATGAACTAGGATGTTTTTACTACTTGGCTTTCGATACCACTTCGTAATGTAGCCGTTTTCTGATAGGCTAATTTGCACGTTCAGAAATCGAAGTCAGTCTTCTTTTGGTTTCTCTCGGGTGAATTTAATATACTCTGACTGTGTGTTCAACAACTCGAAACATCTGTCGATTTCTTCTTGCGTTGAACAAATGACCAAGCAGTCATCTATATATCTACAGTAGAGTAACGGACCGAGGTCGATTACTGGCGCTAAAAAGTTCGTCATTTCATCAGGAAGACAGTTCTGAAGAACGAGAATATTAGTACTGCTGACTCCGACAAGCTATTCGTGGATAACCCAATGCGACACACACGTGGAATCGATCCCCGTGCCCATGGCTCATCAATCCTTCTATCCCTCTGGGGTCGGCAAATTGGTACCAGACTTGTCTAGGGAGATAGCGGCACTGGTTCCATACATCGGTAGGCCACCGTTAGTCATTGTAAAGGCCAGATATGCATTCAATCTTCTCCAAACGATGCTTAATGAAGTCGAATGCATCGCACACCCCTAAGGGATTGATCAACGCTAAGAGCTTTGAGAGCTTTATTACATAGTTACTTAGATATTATTATTATTAAATGATACATTATTTGGAAGGTTTTACATACACCGAGGCAGCTGCATTGTGAGGTCCCAGCAGCGGAGAGGCGCCAGTGTAGCGTTCACGGATTGCGTTGCAAAGAACAAAAACTTTAGCGAATCGTATGGGTTCCTATCACTTTTTTACCAACACCTGGCGTGTAAGCAGGTGGAATTCTAGCTGCGCTGCATCTTGGTCAAATCGTCGATTCCTCCGATATGTCGTTGCACTTCCTATGAGTGACTACGATTGAAAGTTAGGCTTCACTCGGCAACTCATTTCTTCACTCAGGAGTATTTATGAGGAAGGAAAGATTCCAGAGTATTACATTATTAAGAATTTAGCTTTTGCATCACGAAAATGTCAATTGTCCTCGAAAGTCAAATCCTGTGTAGCCAATGCATAGATCATTAAGAAATGCTGGTAACTCATTAGAATAAACAAATACTACGTCCACTTACGTGCCATTCGGCTATAAAAACATTCAAGACAATCGTCGATTTCGCAGGGGTCAAAAAAGTCGTGAACTTCTTTTAGACAGTAACTCATAAGGTAAAAGTTCAAGTTGAAGGTCAAACGAGTCACAGTGTGATAAATAATGTGCAAAGAAATTCACGGCTGACCGTGTTAGGAGACGTAACTCTCCCTAACGGTGTGCGCTCATTATTAGAACTGGGACCGAGTTTCTCACCATCTGAATCCATTTCTAAGGTAATTGCGTAGGGTCGCATGTAGTTTACATGAACTTTAACATAGACTCCGCAAAAAGCTAGTGGTGAAGCGCTAAATAGGTGCGAACAACAAAAAGTAGGGGCAATACCAGTACCACCATTTACTCAACCGTTCTTTAGACAACAAGAGCCCAATAGCGAAGTTGATGTTAAATTCCGGATGTTTACGAATGAAACTTTCAAAGTCCTTCACTATCGATACTGCTCCAACCTCACTGAAATTAAAAAACGTGGTATGCGGGAGGTACGAGAGCTGATAAGATCGAAAAACATAAGACTATCGGTTAGTGATAAGGGTGGACAGTTCGTTGTAATTCCCCATCAGTTAGGAGTTGAGATAATGGAAAAGTACCTTGAAGATGCTTGCCTTTATCGTCCGTCGTCTGAGAAGGAATTTAGAAGTCAATATCGAAAGTTAAACAACGATTGGGTTAAAATGGCAAGAGCGGCTGGGTTAAATCCATCAGTTATCTCTCATCTCAAAATTGACTTGCCAATACGTCCCGTCCTGTACTTACTTATCAAAACCCATAAGTTAGTATCCAGCGATGATTTCGTGTCTACCGATCCATCGTTATTCAAGGTCACACCCAGCTGCGCGTACGGGCCAACGAATGGAATAACGGGGTTAATAACCCTAATACTTACCCAGTTGTTGGAGTACATTCCAGCCCATCTAACGAACACCCAAATGTTCCTGGATCGCCTACGTAACGCGCGACCGAACAGCGCGTACGTGGTGGAGTCCTTCGACGTCACTGCCCTCTATACGAGCACGTCGAATGACTCCGCTATGCGAGCCATAAGCGAGCTCCTTATACAACACGAAGGATCAATAAACATGTGCAGCTTCTCGATTCAGCAGCTGATGACGCTCCTAAAGGAGTGCCTAAACTGCTCAATCTTCAGAGGTAGTCCGGTCTAGAGAATTCGGTAACGATAATTGAAATGCCACCGAGTAATCTCTAAGACACCAGCTAGTTCGTAACCGTCTATACTACCGTCTATGTGCAACACAAAATTGCATAATTTGCCCCAATGGTAGAGATGGTGACTGCATGAGTTCGGGTCCAGTCCATCTGAACTCTTGTAAAGCGTGCGGGACGAATACGTTGGCGAAACGAGTAGACCACTCTGTGTTCGTATAAAACAACACTTAGTCGGCAAACGTAAACCAAATACTCCACTAGGTACGCATAGCACGCAAAAACATAACGGAGAAGATTTTGAAGTAAGGGTTACGATCCTCGCGCAAGAATCGAAAACACAAGCGCGCAAAACTCTAGAGGCATTCTGGATAACTTCCAAGAATCCGAAAATGAACCGCAGGGAGGAATGCCTTGTTATCACGCGCGATATTGGGCAATATATAAGCCTGTTATTCTGATGAGATGGGCACATTACGATTCCATGTGTACTGTGTGAG